AAGTTTGATTGTTAACTTGTATTCAAGTTGCGGCCGTAGATTTCCGTCAATTTGCTTACAACTGTTGTTGAGTGAAGAATTACCGCCAACTTGATGGATAAATTAACCGTAACTGTTGGAAGTCAACACTTACTGAGAAAGCGCTGGCTATACCGTAACCAATTTGGCGCCGAATATTAATTTTTTTTCAAAAACTAAATGACAAAAAATTGCTCATGAATTGCTCTTCTGATATAAACAATTGCTCCGCTGCTATAATTAATAATTAATTAATTAATCGTAATTAAAAAATCAAAATTTAATTCCCGATTATCTCTAATTGTGAGGACTAATGTTAATTGTAATAAGTGCCAAAAAATTGCTCATCCTTTTTTCTATTGGGAATGATAGTTATTTTGTGCGTAAAATCGTTTTTAATTAATTAATACTATAAATAATTATATTGCACCTTTAAACCTGCGAATGACAATTGTGACGTCATCGTCGCGACAATTTGAAAGTATACAGTAAATTTTCTAACTAAATATATACATAAAATATATATATATTCCTCACCGACTTTGAAAACATCATTTCGAGAAAAACGGATTTTAAGTTTTGGCTATTATTTAAACTACTTTCAAACGCTCGGAGACGTCTTTACAAATACGCTCATTACTCCGAAACTATTTACCGGATTACTTTGAAATTTACAGACAATATTCTCGAATATATATATATATATATATTTAAAATATGCAAAAAAAATTTCGATTTTTTCAAAATTACAAGTGAATATAACCCCTTAAAACATAAAATAATAATGAAATTTTAATATTAGTTGATTTAGAATTACAAGGGTTAGGTTTTTAAACCAAGTCATCAATTTTTACCCAATTATTGTTGATCGATCGATCTTGTATAAGCTACATAATGACCGACTTTATTCAAATATACTGGTGGGACAAACTCTACTACACCAAATAATAAGTAATTTTTGTCAAGTATCTTTAATTTTGTTGGAATACTACTTAAGTTCTCGGTTAAACGTTGATTATCATGAAGTTTTGAGAGAAGTCGAAGGTATATAAAAATGACTTATGTCTAAGCTTAAAAATACATTAGTAAAAGTAGATTTTTGGACAGAGTTTTGTGAACACGACCTGCAGTAAAGGAATGATTCTATTTTTAATGCATCTGAAACACTGTCCTGTAATTCAATAATCCAATAATTTCAGCATCATAAAAATAATTATTATTTCATAATTAAACATTGAGCCTAAATAGAATAACCATAAAAAGTTTGTTTACATGGACATATACGCATGTAACTTAATACATCACTATAGCTTATCCTCATAAGAACGACAATCAAATTGTCGCGACGATGACGTCACAATTGTCATTCGCAGGTTTAAAGGTGCAATATAATTATTTATAGTATTAATTAATTAAAAACGATTTTACGCACAAAATAACTATCATTCCCAATAGAAAAAAGGATGAGCAATTTTTTGGCACTTATTACAATTAACATTAGTCCTCACAATTAGAGATAATCAGGAATTAAATTTTGATTTTTTAATTACGATTAATTAATTAATTATTAATTATAGCAGCGGAGCAATTGTTTATATCGGAAGAGCAATTCATGAGCAATTTTTTGGCATTTAGTTTTTGAAAAAAAATTAATATTCGGCGCCAAATTGGTTACGGTATAGCCAGCGCTTTCTCAGTAAGTGTTGACTTCCAACAGTTACGGTTAATTTATCCATCAAGTTGGCGGTAATTCTTCACTCAACAACAGTTGTAAGCAAATTGACGGAAATCTACGGCCGCAACTTGAATACAAGTTAACAATCAAACTTGTAGTTAAATTCCCTTTCAACTTGACTACAATTTGACGGAAAAATACTTGTACAGCAAGTTTTGACGTCTATTTGCAGAGTAAGTTATAGGTAACTAATAGGTAATCGCTCGCTTTGCCAAGTCTTTCCGTCAAGTTTGCTTCAAATTGCGGACGTTGATTGACAGTAAGTTATAGGTAAGGTGGCTATCAGGGTCTTTTTAATAAATTTATTATTTTCTCATTAATTTTTTTTTTTATATTCCTTGCTGGTGTAGTCCAGCTGGCCTCTATGAATATCATGTATAGCCAATGTTTGTTCGGCAATGAGCCGAGTCCTCACAGTCGAAGATAATCGAAAATTAACCTGGCGCATAGCGAAAATTATCCGACCATGGTGGGACTCGAATCCATGCCTGGCCAGTACCCGTAGTTCGAAGTCAAGCACGTTAGCCGCTCGGCTACAAGTACTGTTTTTCTCACTAATTATTGTTGATGATTACTAAAAAACGATTTTCCGTTCAATGGTTACTACCGTGTACTGAAACCATGAACAATTTTGAAAAAATGAAAGATATAGGTATTGACATAAAAATTTTAATAACTTACAAAACAAAAATATTAATGAAATAATAAAAATTATTATTTTACACATTACTTTTGATATTGACTTATCAACAGATTCGGTAGAATCTGGCGCCAAGTTCCGTTCTCAAGCCAGACTACCGAGTGTGTATATACCGTAAGCAGAACGGTTTTTTGAGGT